AATATCCAGCAATGTGCTCCTAATGAAAATTGCTTTGCACTGGCACAAACGACTTACATTGGTCATTTCCCACTGTGTTTACATTCAGTCTTAACCAGGCCTTGCATCTATTCATTAAAAAGTATGTGTTCTGCATTATTTCCTTCTCCAACTGTAGAGGTGGTATCTTTAAACTATTCACATATGAGGTCAGTCTAATGACAGCAGCTTTGACAACTTGTGAGAATAAGTATGAGAATATAGGAACCTGCACATTGGACAAATTTCTTCTTTGTATTCTGTGTTGCTCTTTCCTGCTTTATTCTGACTTGAGCTAGTTCCACCCTCATAAAAAACAAAGCAACAAACAGAAATGAAATTGACATGCATGATAGGTCAAAGTAAATTGTGATCATTGCCAGGCAGACTAGAGTGTTTCATTTGCACCAAGTGAAAATAAATGCCTGTGTTTTGTAGCTAGATGATAACAGTCATACTTGAAAAATTATTAAGTTGGTTCTTCATTTACGTAGAAAAGCCTGCTTGCTTGCTTGCTTTATTTATTTATTGCTTAAATGTATATGCTACTTCTAATAAACTACCAAGGTGGTTAACAAAAATGATAAAAGCATAAAATATAGCAATAAAAGTGCTATGGCGTAATCACTTGCAGTAGAATGACTGGGGTAGAATTTGGACAAGGATAGTAAAGTTATAATCTCTACTCAGATGCTGCTACAGAGTTGGTCTTACAAAGACCAGCAGAGGCATTTGGGAAAATATGCCTGAGTTGTGGGCAATGAAGCAAGCCAGGAGACGATTAGAGCGCAGGTGGAGGAAAACTTGGGATGAATCTGACCGAACACTTTATCGAGCCTATGCTGTAGTAGAGGTGAGGGCGGCAAAGAGGCAGTTCTTCTCCGCTTCCACTGCTTCCTCACAGTGCCATCCAGCGGAGCTTTTCCAAGTAGTGCAAGGCCTGATACACTCTGGCCAGGAAAATGAAGTGGTTGCACCTTCAGCAGCCTGCTGTGACGACTTTGCCCAACACATTAAGGAAAAAATTGCTCAGATTCGCCACAATCTGGACTCTACAGTTGATATGGCTCCAGTATGGGAGGTGTCCAGAGCGCCGACTCGTCCATCATTATTGGATGAGTTTCAGTTATTACGACCTGATGATGTGGACAAGGTGCTTGAAATGGTACGTCTTGCCCCTTGCCTCTCTTGGCTACATAAAGAAGCCAGTCATGGGATTGGTCCCTGGGTCCGGGAGGTTATCAACACCTCACTGAGGGAGGGCCAGGTCCCTGCTCCCTTGGAGGAGGTGGTGATCTGGCCTATCCTGAAGAAGGTGTCTCTGGACCCAGAGGTGGCCGCCAACTTTAGTTTGGTGGCCAACATTCCGTTTTTGGACAAGGTGTTAGAGCAGGTGGTAGCAGGACAACTCCAAACACTCTTGGATGAAATGGATTATCTGGACCCATTTCAGTCTGGCTTCAGACCTGGTTATGGTACTGAATCTGCCTTAGTCGTCCTGTATCATGACCTGTGCAGGGAGGGGGATGGGGCAGTGTGTCCCTGTTAGTTCTCCTGGACCTCTCAGCGGCTTTCGATACCATCGACCATGGTATCCTTCTGGATAGGCTGGCTGGGTTAGGAGTGGGAGGCTTTGCATGATGGTGATTCCGCTTCTACCTGCCTGGCTGATTCCAGAAGGTGGTGCTGGGGGACTATAGCTCTGTGACATGGCTGCTTTGCCATGGGATTCCACAGGACTGTATTCTGTCCCCCATGCTCTTCAACATCTACATGAAACTCCTGGGAGAGGCCATCAGGAGGTTTGGGCTGCGGAGTCATCAGTATGCTGATGACACCCAGCTCTACCTCTTGTTTACATCTACTTCATGTGAGGCAGTGGCTGTCCTGTACTGGTGCCTGGATGAGATAATGGGCTGGATGAGGGCCAATAAACTGAGCCTCAGTCCAGATAAGATGGAAATCCTATTGGTGGGTGGATTGAGGTTTCAGGTAAGTGATTTTGACCTTGTTCTGGATGGGGTAGCGCTCCCTCTAAAAAGACAGGGTCCGCAGCTTGGGAGTGCTCCTTGACCCAGAGCTGTCCCTGGAAACCCAGGTGGCAGCAGTGGCGAGGAGCGCTTTCCTCCAGCTTCGGCTGGTTCATAGCTATGTCCTTACCTGGACAAGCACTGCCTAGCAATGGTGATTCATGCCCTGGTAACTTCCTGGTTGGATTACTGTAACACACTCTATGTCGGGCTGCCCTTGAAAATGGTCCAGATACTTCAGCTGGTACAGAATAGAGTGGTCAGGGTGCTGACGGGGACCAGTCAGTATTCTCACATAACGCCAGTCCTCTACTAGCTCCACCGGCTTCCAGTTGGAAGTCTGGGCCCAATTCACAGTGCTGGTTTTGACCTATGAAGCCCTGAACGGCTTGGGACTGGGATACCTGAAGCAATGTCTCCTTCCTTATACGCTCTCACGCCCCTTAAGATCTGTGGGAGATGCTCTGCTCCGAGAACCCTCCCTGAAACAGGTAAAAAGGGTATCTACTCGGAGTAGGGCCTTCTCTGCAGTGGTGCCCAGATTGTGTAATGCGCTCCCCGGAGAGGTTTGCCTGGCACTGAGCTTATATTCTTTTTGGCACCAGGTCAAAACCTTTTTATTCAATCGTTATTTTAGAAATTAGTATTTTAATGTTTCACCAGTTGCTTTTGATTTAATTTTTATTGGTTATATATTATTTATTATATTTGTATGTATTGTTTTATTGTATTTTGATTCTAATTATTGTAAGCTGGCCTGAGATGCCATGCATAAGGGACGGCATATAAAAGTTTTAAATAAATAAATAAATAAAATGGTAAATGCATTTGAAAAAATTTGTGGTATAATGTTGGTAAAAATACAGCAGAATTGATGTATTTCAGTTTTGGGGGGATCTCATTACTAGATCAATCTTTATTTCATGGAGAAACTTTTCAGTGAGAGTATGGATAACTGCGCATTTAGAAAACCTTGCTGCTTCAATCATAAGAAATTATGGGAAGAAGTCTACAGAGATCTTAAGTTAGAAACAACTGCAATATCTTGGGGGGTGTATTATTAAAATGAATTTACTACCAAAATTACTTTTGCTATTTTTGAATATTCCATTGCAGGTTACAATGTTAAGATTTTTTTTCTTTTGGTTAAGGGAATAAGCTAGACTAACTGCCAAGGTATTGTTATCAACCATATATTATTATTTATTTAAATTTAAAATTTAAAAATTTTATATGCCATCTTTTATGTATAACGTCTCAGGATAGCTTACGGCATTAAAATCAGAATCTAATAAAACATTCAGTACCACAATATTTTATTTATTTATTTATTTATTTATTTATTTATTTATTTATTTATTAAAACATTTTTATGCCACCCCATTTGCCGAAGCCTCGGGGCGGCTTACAACAAATAAATTAAAACATAAAATATACTAAACAATATAAACCAATAAAATAAAAGTGACTGTTAAAACCATTAAAATACTAATTTTTAAAATAAGGCTTGATATGAAGGATCTTTCATTCCTTTGTATTATAAAGTATTCTACAGTATTGGTGCAGTATTGGTTACTAAAATCATGGTTCGCACTGGATAATTGGACAATGGTAGAGGAGCAAGATACACTTTGGTTTTGCAGCAGAATGGATTTGGATAGACTTAGGGAAAAACATAATATCCATTGGGTACTATGATATAACTATTTTAATGTAAGTAATTAAAATATTTTTAAAATAATGAAAAATACTGATTAGTTGCTGGCATTTATGAAGAAGTGGGTTTTGAGCAAAGATCAAAATGGATGACAACTGCCTGAAGTCAGTGAGGAGCATTCCAGAGGGCTGGTGCTGCAATACTAAATGCTCTGTTGCAGGTACTCCCAAGGCAAATATAATAGTCACATTTGGGTGCCACTGTAATCCAACCTTCCCCGACCTGATCCTTCCAGATACTACCCCAGCCTTCCTTCAGCTGACATGGCCATGGGTTATTGGTCAAAGCGTATTACTTACCAAAAGTGGTCAGTGAATTTATAGCAAGCAAATATTGGAATTTGATCTCCTTTGTCAAAACAAAAGATACTGAAGATGAAACTCAAATACTTTGGCCACCTAATGAGAAGGAAGGTCTTACTGGAGAAGAGCCTAATGCTGGGAACGATTGAGGGCAGCAAAAGAAGGCGGCGGCGGCAGAGGATGAGGTGGCTGGATGGAGTCACTGAAGCAGTTGGTGTGAGCTTAGGTGGACTCCGGGGGATGGTGGAGGACAGGAAGGCCTGGAGGAATGTTGTTCATGGGGTCGCGATGGGTTGGACACGACTTCGCAACTAACAACAAGAAGTTCAAACAAAAACTTTAGATTATTTAAAATGATTGGTCAGAAAAGTAACCCCAACATAGGGAATATGATGTAGTGGTGTCACAGTTTTTTGAATCAGTGATAGCCATCTCTCAACAATTTCATAGATCACCTAGATCCCATACCAAATATTTTATCAAGGTGTGGTAAAATGCTTGTCCACTAGTTTTTACATGTAAAAAAAAATGTAATTGCATGCATTTCACACTCTATTGAAACTATTCCTTTTTGCACATAATGCTACAAACATATTAGTATGCTGTGCTTTCCCTGAATGAATGCTCCCTGTCCCTGGACAACTTAGATATTGCCAGCTTTGGTTAGGGACCGTGACTGCTTGTGATGAGATCAGTCTTTGTCTTGCAATATACACTCCAGGTTCCTTGGTGATCAGGAAAATAGTGATCCTGAGAATTACAGACTTTACCTTTCTTTCCACGTGATTCCAAACGGACTGCTTAAAGCTGCTTTGAAAATGTTTTCTAATTCTGTAATGTTGTCATGTGCAGTACAAATAATTAGACTTGCATTGATAAGTACCCTGGAATGCAGTGTTCTCATTGCTAATCTCATTTTCAATCTTTTTGCAGGCTGCTGACTTGAGTAAACCAATAGATAAAAGGATATACAAAGGAACACAACCTACGTGTCATGACTTCAATCATTTAACAGCCACAGCAGAAAGTGTTTCTCTACTAGTGGGCTTCTCTGCAGGCCAGGTGCAACTTATAGATCCTATTAAAAAAGAAACTAGCAAACTGTTTAATGAGGAAGTAAGTTCATGTCTTAACTTAGTGCATGCAAACATACCTGTATACTTTTTCTAAGTTCTCTATATGTATATTAATTTATTTTTCCACTCAGTTTACTTGGATGGATACAGGAAAAAATTCCCACACCGTTTCACTGTATTGCACTGTGGAAGATAATGTGGTTTTCACTACTCCCTCTTCCCTCAGATTCTCACCTTTGCTTAGTGTTCTATCTACATTAGTGTTTTTGCTATGTATAATTCATGTCAAACTACAGTTTGAGACTCTGGTTATGTTTGTGAACTATGCTAGTGTAAATTCAATGTCCTAGTTAATTCAGATTAAAAAGGAATGGAAGAGGTCTGCAAGAAAAAATGACTACTGCTTTCATTCATGGAGTATTGTGTCTACTTCAAAACTGTTTGAAAGAAGTTTGCTAAGAAGTGAAGATTACTCTTTATTTTAGTCTCAGCATTCTTCAGCATAGTTAATTGAAAGAATAATACCATTACCTAGTTTGCTGTTCTGTTTTACATACCAGAACACGCTTTGAATCTACTATATTTGTAGAGCTGCTTTAATTGCTAACTCCTTCACATAGAAAACAATTCTATACTCCCTGGAAGAGTGCTCCAGGGGCCACAGAAATGCTCAGAAAAACCCTTCCAAGAGAGAGCTCTTAAACCTCAGAAGGGACATTTGAAGACCTTTGCAGCAGCACAGAAGCAGTGGTGCTGTCAGCCCTCCAAGGTCAGAACAGTGATCTTGGAGGAAGAGGAAAGGGGGTCTTCTAGTGGGTGAGAAAACCAAAGAGGCCACTGTCCCGAGCTTCCTATGGCCTCCTTCCCTTCCCCCTCAAAGTGTCCCCAGTAGATGGGCTAAAAAGCTCATCTAACAAAAATCACCAGAGAGGATGGAGAGGCAAAGATCACCTCACCTGCTCCTCCTGCTGGTCAACTTCAGTTTGGCAAGGCTGGTGAATCTTGGACTCTGCAAGTTTGAGTGATTCTGAGCAGCAAGGGTGCGATTGATAGACTTTCTCAAACATCTGAACTGAAAAAAAATCCTTGAGGCAAACCTGTCAGCTTCAGCCCACTCAGTGCATTCATTTACGTCCTAGATTGTGCAAGCACATCCCTGTGCTATCTTTGCAACTCTCTTCATTTTCAAGTCTTTTGCCATGTAATATGGGAAGTCAGTGCATGCACATGGAATACTATTTGAAAATGATTTTTTAAAAAATCCTAGCCACTGAAATTGTGATCTACTGTGAACTTTTTAATCAGAATCTTGAGGCACTTTTGACTCAACCTCTTTCATTGCCTTCTAAATGAAAGGCAGAATCATCATCTCGCCATAGGTGGACCAATACAATCCACACAAAGGAGTTTTAGGACATGCTTTAGGTAGACGTATCTTTTTGATTCTTCTCAGCCTTTTTAAATGTAGTAAGTTGCAAGATATATTATTTGTGTTAAATTATGGTGTGCTAACTCTAATAGCCCTAGTTAAAATCTAATGCACCGTGAGAAGCATTTTTAGCCTTAATGGGTTGAGGATTTGAATAGTTTCTGATTTAGACATTTTTTTCAGGAAGTGGCTGCAGGATGAAGGAAGAAAAGGGAATTTTATTTACATGAATTTATGTTACCAAGAAATGCCTTCAAGGTAGTGAACAAGTAAAACAATCACCACTATCTGCCAAAAATCACTGTAGACATTAAGCACCATCTTCTACTCCTGTGAGAATAAAACTCTTTCTTTAATTTTATGGCTCCTTACAGCAAAAACTCTACATGTTTGTAGAGCTCTGTATTTGTTTTCTGCCTTGCTGGTCAGAAATCTGCTCAGATCAAAGATTTTGTTTCCTTAACTCGGTAGCTTCTATATGAACTTGTATACAGTTCAGTGCAATTCAGAACAGCCCTATTCAGTTTTGCTTTTATGCCTTCTTAACTCACCCTTGTATTTGACTTTCCACTGCTATGTATTCCTATACATGACACTAATTTAGGATCATGCCTCTTGCCAAGGTAATGTCAGTGTCTGTATTATCTACTCATTTCTACAAAGACAGCACATACTGGCTTCAGACCTCAATGAATATTGTTCATTGCGTACAGTCTGTCATGTTGCTTTATATCCCGTAAAAGGATAAAATCTCTGGAATGAGGCTGTTGTATTTCATACTTAAACACAGCTTTTTATGTCCAGAGATTATTCAAACTATAGCTTATAACTATGTGCTCAGAATGATGCCTTGGTATCCAGAGCCAACCTTAGTAGTACAGCCATCATTAACATCCTAGTTGTAAACTGTCCCGAGATGCCACTAGATGGCTGGTCCATAAAAACCATAAATACATACGTACATACATAAGCAAGCCAGCCAGCCAGCCATCTGATATTATTGTGGGCATAGTTTGATACGTGGTTATAAGGAATTGGTATCACTGTCATTTGCTTTTTTCGTGCTCTTACGCATGAATGCCTTGGGTTAGCAGAATAATTGATATGCCATTATTATTGCTTAAAATAATGAATATGCAAGCCAAATTCCACTGTTCATTCATGACAACCCAGCAGAGGTAGTAGGAGGTAGAATCAGAAACTCCAAAATATTTTCTGCTATCAGTTGTAACTAATTACATTGAATGCTTAGATTTTTCATTCTGGACAAAAGCAGTGAAACATTTTACTCAAAAATTTTAAGTTATACAGATATTCAATCTTGCTTCTGCAACCACCAATCAAGTCTCAAAGTAATGTTCATGTAAAGCAGATTCTGTTTGAAAATTGGCATTATTTCTATTGCAGTGACTAGGGATTTTCCCCCTAGTCACTTCTGTACAATAAAGCCAGATTTTAAAGAGATGAACAGTTTTTCTTCACAGAATGTAGGATCCGCAGTCTAAGTGACTTATTGTGTTAAACTATGTTAAGGAGGGTTTACCCCAGATCGGGCTGATTAATTTACTTTTATTCTATTAAGTGAGAAAAGCACAGTTTTTAACAATAGCTTTATTGTTAAAGCTTTTGTTATTGGATGGATTTATTTGAACTTGGGTAAGTCCTGGTAAACAGGTAAGTTTTAAAAGTTTGTTTTCCCTACAAGTAGAATAATTTCTGCTTTTTAATGCAGACTGGCAGAAAATTAATAACCTTATTAAGTGAAATTGCAAAACTGAGATGACTCTGATGTGTGCCTTTTTTCCTTTGTTTTTCAGAGACTAATAGACAAGTCCAGAGTAACTTGTGTAAAATGGGTGCCTGGTTCAGAAAATCTCTTCCTAGTAGCTCATTCCAGTGGCAATATGTACTTGTATAATGTGGAACACAATTGTGGTACCACAGCCCCACACTATCAGCTACTTAAACAAGGAGAAAGCTTTGCAGTCCACACATGCAAGAGCAAATCTGCACGAAACCCTTTGCTTAAATGGACAGTAGGTGAGGGTGCCCTGAATGAATTTGCTTTTTCCCCAGATGGGAAATTCTTGGCGTGTGTAAGCCAGGATGGCTTTCTTCGTGTATTTAACTTTGATTCAGTGGAGTTGCACGGTACAATGAAAAGCTACTTCGGAGGACTGCTATGTGCGTGTTGGAGCCCAGATGGAAAATACATTGTGACAGGTGGAGAGGATGACTTGGTGACTGTCTGGTCTTTTGTGGACTGTCGAGTGATAGCTAGAGGCCATGGACACAAATCCTGGGTCAGTGTTGTGGCCTTTGATCCATATACCACTAGTGTAGAAGAAAGTGATCCAATGGAATTTAGTGGCAGTGATGAGGATTTCCAAGATCTTCTTCATTTTGGAAGAGAGCGAGCAAATAGTACGCAGTCTAGGTTATCAAAAAGGAACTCTACAGACAGTCGCCCAGTAAGTGTAACATACAGGTTTGGTTCAGTAGGCCAGGACACACAGCTGTGTTTATGGGACCTAACAGAAGATATCCTCTTCCCACACCAACCCCTCTCAAGGGCAAGGACACACACAAATGTCATGAATGCCACAAGTCCTCCTGCAGGAAGTGGTGGAGCTAACCCAGGAAGTAATGGAAACAGCATCACAACACCTGGAAACTCTGTGCCCCCTCCTCTTCCAAGATCAAATAGCCTTCCACATTCTACAGTCTCCAATTCTGGCAGCAAAAGCAGTGTCATGGATGGTGCCATTGCTTCTGGGGTTAGTAAATTTGCAACCTTATCGCTACATGACCGGAAGGAAAGACACCACGAAAAAGATCACAAAAGAAACCATAGTATGGGACATATATCTAGTAAGAGCAGTGACAAACTGAACCTAGTTACTAAAACCAAAACAGACCCAGCAAAAACTTTGGGAACACCCCTGTGTCCCAGAATGGAGGATGTTCCTTTGTTAGAGCCTCTTATCTGTAAAAAGATAGCACACGAAAGACTGACTGTGTTAATTTTTCTTGAAGACTGTATAGTCACTGCTTGTCAGGAGGGATTTATTTGCACATGGGCAAGGCCTGGTAAAGGGGTAAGTTCTAATCCTTAATGCTGCATCAAAGAAGTAGAACTTGAATAGGTAGTTTTTCTCAAAACATAACTGAATGTTGAATATAAAATTTCTTTATGCTTAATGTAAAAAATTATTTCCTCAGAGCCATACTTTTGGATACTGCATGCCATATTTCTGAACAATTTGAATTGTCTGGCCCGGGTCAAGTCCTTTTGAAATACAGTTGCCTTCCAGCCGGAGATGTGTTGTGTATCCAAAGTGTCAGTGATAGTTTTCCTATATTTTCAAAGCTATTTTTGTAATTCATGATTGAGACAAATCTAAAAATCAATTAGTGAGGGTAAAAATTGTAAGGGCATTCAGGAATATGATACATTCACAGCTTGGGTAAGCTGTAGCTTGGTATAACATGCATTTGGGCAATTGATTTAGAAGACTTACCTGGCAAGAATCCATAAAGCAGGATGTATTCTCTCTCTTTTTTTCAAAAGCTAGTCATAGTACTGAGAACTTTTAATTCTCCTTCAGTGATCATCAAGACAATTTGTAGTGTCTCCATTTAAAATTTGAATAAACTGGTATTAAATATGCATTGTAATATTCTGACTTTTAATATCAATCTACTCCAACCATTTCTATGTGTAAGGTCATTTTAAGTCCCGTAGTGGAATGTATCCCTTACTAATTTTTCACCTGTCACTTTAAAGTACTTTCATGTTAAAAAGTATTTTTAACTCATGTGTTTTCCATTAAATCCACAGACTTAAATGTGGCACTGGTAACGTTTTCTTTTGTATTGAACAAAACTGATATTAGTTACTTAATTTTTAGCACTTTTTCTGACAATGTTTGGTTTGCTTTCAGTACTTATTAGCAATTTGCAGTCTATGGCCCAGCTCAAAAGAGTCTTCAGGTGGCTTTTTCTCATGCAGGTATTCATCTTGGGCTCACCTTCCCCAGAGGATAGCTACCCATAAGGCTTTTGGGGATCCTTTGGTGTAGAATCCAACACAGTGGGCCTGGAGCTGGAAGCAAAGACTAGCTATATCTGATGCATGAATGGGAACACATTAGTCCAGTGGAAATGATAGAAAACCAGTAATGTTATCCTAATTGGCTGGTAGTTGTCTTGGGTTTTGGCTTGTTTTTTGTGTTTTTGGAGGTGTACTTGGGCACTTTTTGATATCTTCTTGGAGTTCAGCCCTAAAGTACCTCAAGTATCATTGAATGTTCCTGGCATACTCAGATAATAGAAAATAAGTGCAAGAAGAGATAATCAACTAGAACTCAAAGCCCATTGTGACTGTAAGGTTTCACAACTTCTCTAAAATATGTGATAAGAATTAAGTATTTCAGCAGCATTTTATAAACTTGTTGTGATACGTAGTTTCTCCTGTATGCCTTATCATGGACAGACAATCGGGAGATATATGACATTGCTTTTCATGGGGAAAAGGAAGCAATTTGTAAGGGTAAATGACAAACCTGTTTGTTCTTGTGCGCTAGAGTGATGGAAATGTTTATATATTTAATCGGTGCAGGGACCACATAGTTTGGTGCTGTTTTTAAATGTGTGCATTGATGAAGTAGGCTATGGATGGAGGACAAATATTACCCCTTTGCTTACCCAGTAAGGTATCCCGAAGTAGATTAGCAGGAGCCTCTCAGCTGCTTTCATGTGTACTAAATTAATTGTTCTGTAAAGGAGTTGTAAACTATGCCAGTAGAACACAACTTGCATGCAGTGATAGCTTGATTTGAAATACATTTCAAATATTTCAGAGATAGAGTATGCAGTACCAAAAGCTAGGATTTCTATATTTGGCCAATGCGGAAATCTTTAATTAAAGGTAAGTTTCATGCTGATGTTATCCATTAGGTCTTTGAAAACTAATATCGCACACTGATGTAAATGCATATTGTTTAGGATGTATTTACTTAGAATGAGTTTCAAATTATTATTAGTTATTTTTGCAGTTGGTGAGCTCACTCAGCTGGCCTAAACTAGCAAGTTAGGTGATATGTTTACAGGGCTCTAGATGGAGATGTCTTTGTGCCAGAAAGATGTTAATAAGCATCCTTTTTGTTTTATAGGAGAGCACTTAACTAAACTCTATACCTATTTAATGAGTTTCCAGAAACATGCATGGTAACATATTTCTTCTCTTGGGTTATACACTGCAATTTTGCCTTACCAGAGGTTTAATTCTATAGCTAAGTTTTTAAAAGAGTTGAAAGCTGCTACGTTTTTGTGTTGCCATTTTGTCTCTGGCACTCTTCCAAAACAGCTCCTATTGCCATTTTCCTGTGCTAAAAATGGCTTTCCAACATTGCCAGAATATCTCAATTGGATAGAAATGTCTCAGAGTTCCAGCTTGGGGAAAAATGGGCCAGAGGACACCAGTAGTGCAGTCTGAAGCCTCACTGTTACTGAGCCAGCCCTACCTTACTCTTTTCCCTACCTGTCTTTGCCCCAGACTGTTGCAGTAAGGATAGTACATTGTCTATTTCTACAGAAGAGCGGGATTAGAATGGACATTCAGTTTTTAGGACAAGTGGTTTTTGTCTGGCTGCTATTGCCTTGGCTGGAGCATCAACACCATTTCAGTATTGGGAACCGATAGGGCAGAGGGATACACTGCCAAATTGGAGTAAGAAGACTCCCACTACAAGCCTTAGGACTTCCTCTTTAATATTCATGCCATTACTTGAGCTTCTTTGTGTCTTTTCATATGTAAAGTACTGTGTTCAGTAGATAATGTGGGAGAACCCCATGTTGCATATTACAGCAAAAAAGATTTAAAACTGCACTAACTTGTGGGGAAATAGCTTACTCTGCAGGCATCAAAATTTCTGAAATGACTTTGTAAAAATATAGTGTACTACTGGGAAGAGTTAAAATTGCGTTAAAATATCTTGTCCATATCCTACCCAATTACATTGTTAACCCTGGTAGAGAAAGCAAGTTTTGCAGTCCTTTTGCAATGCCTAGTCATACTTACATTTCTGTCTGAAATGGGATGCGTAAGTGTGTTGTTTAGGTATTACCAAAAGGTCTTACCTTCAGTTACAGACCTACCAAATCATCTACATTTTACAGCCTTCAGGGAAAACTTCCACTGCTTACCCAAAAATTCATGGTAAGAGTGGACTGAGTAAAGAATAGTTGAGAGAAATGTCAGCATATCCCTTGAGCAGAATAATGTTTTACCAATTTGTACAATAAAATGCACATGGAATTTAGAAAATGTATGTGAATTAAATAGTGCAAAGAGAGTCTAGAATTCAGTTATGGAGTATCTTTCAGCATATTCTATAATTAAGTAGCACGTGTAGTACAGCATCATGTTTAATGAGTTCTGCCTTTCTAAAATTTTTGACAGACATTTGTAAATGAGAGGTTATACTTACTACTGGATTCTCATCAGCACAGAGTATTTTATTGGATGCAATTGAAACATAAAATGTTGTTGGGATTTACTGTATCATTTGACATAATTTTGAAATCAGGTCTGATTTAGGAAGAACTAACTCCATTGTGAGTTTGGTGTAAAATGAAACAATGTAGAATATAAACACAGTGCAAACAGGGATTTTATTAATGCCTTGAAATATGGCTACAACTTAATTATACAAGTGTACGAACAGGTTTGCTTAGGAATGGGTCAGTTACTTCTGTGAAGCCAGGAGAGAGTGATTGCCTTATTATGTGGGTGTCCAAATTAAGAGAGGAAGTTTCTTACTAAAGAGTTTTCAGAAATGTTTGATCTTTTGCAACTCAGTTATGTACTTGAAAAGACTGTATACTTCTCTGTTCTATCACATTCAAGCTACTAAATTTGCATTTAGAGTAATTCCTGGCCTGCTTATGCTAAAAGAAAGAAAAAAAAAAAACCAGCTGATTTACTGTCACATAAAATGTGTAAAGTTTAAAAGCAAGTTTTTTTCCTGCGTTTATGAATCTGTATACATGAATTTGTTAAAATTGACAAGTTAGGTGATACTGTACAAAATTGTAATGATATAGTGAAAAATCAACAGTAAAACTCATATGTATTTTCTTTATAAACGTCCATCTAATTTCTTGACAACTTGAATAAATTTCATAAGAGCCTTTCTAACATGACAAATTGTTAAACTAAATTGACTGTTGCAATAATAATGAAGCTTTAATAAGTATTGTTGGTATATTTATAATTTTAAAAAAATCATGTTTGTTTCATACTGCTTATTTTTTAGTGTTTTATGTCACTGTTTCAGCTGAAGAACCCTACTAAATACTTGACATTACAAAATAATTTAATGGGGTTGTCCTCTGTATACTGACATTAAATAAAAAGTGTGACTGAACAGTAAAATGTAGATAACTCTTGGGTATTTCATACCTATTTTCAAATGTTGGCTTAGAGTTTTTATGTCTTTCATAACTCATGTTGATTTGAACTGGCTTAAATACCATGTGAAACTATAATTAGCTGAAACAATATGCAGTGGGTTTGGTTAAATTGATGTTTTCAGATAAAATAACAGCCATTGAAATGGGAGAATTGATGCCTTTTGGGTTCTGCAGGAGCTCTTTTGTTTGCAGCACCTTGCATTAATGTTTAAATGCTTTAGTGTTGTTTACCAGCATTTATGAGGTACCTAAATAGACAGTCCAAGACCAATTATACCCATCTGGTCAGGCAGGCTACTGATAATGAAAACTGTTGCTGCCACACTTTAATTGGATTGGACCAATTGGTTCAGCGTTCTCTTAAGTTCGTATCTTACATCTGAAACATGCAGTGTAGTGGCTTGTACGTGACTTACTTCACTTGGTACTTCCAATATTAGTTTGTTTCCAAAGCCATGTTTTGCACCTACTCCTCAGTTCCTACTTACCCACTTCCTTTGCTTTTCTAATACCTGTCTGTGTGTGTTGTAGTAATCATAAATGCTAGCACTGTGTTGGAGATATTAAACATGCACAGAGTGAAGGAGGAAAACGAATTTGCTCTTCCTGAAATTCCTGATAT